AGGTGAAAGGTGAATGCCTTGTAAGGAGACTCGGTGTGAGCGGACCTTGAAGAATGTTATAGTATGAGGCTGGGAGTGATGAAAGGGGTGATATTGTATCTCAGCGGTGACATATCAGGGAAAAGGGATGATTGAGACATACTTTGGAGGGGCTGTATGCCCTGATGGGAGCAAGGGAGAAAGTGGGATTGTCCCTAGTTGGGGTTGAAGAGGACTGCTCGTGATCAGGTTTGTTCTGTTCGGTGGAGGCAGCAAATGGGCAAAAGAAAAATAAGAGGGAAGGGGTGGGGGAGGGGGTAGTTTTAGTTTCCCTAATTACATGTTATTAGTTTTAGTTCTCTGTATCTTTTATTATTTCATATTATTCTGGCACTGGGCTTACGAGGTAAAGGTCATTTGACTTCAAAGATAGTAGTGATGTTTAGGATTGTCGTTAGCTTGGGGATTTGTCAATGGTGGAAGACAATCAAATGACCAATTGCGATCTTCTGCAGGATTTGCGATGGTGGCATGAGCAAGGCATGCCGCCAAGTTAGGTCTGGAAGATTGAACAAAATAGCTACGCTTGCTGTTGGATTACCGATAGCATCACTGAGAATAAATGGTTTGGTAGAGGTAATGGTTTCTTATAGTACATATTTTTTTTATTAGTCTCATTAGACTCTTAATTGTAGTTGGATCATCATCATCATCATCATCAAAATATTCTCATGTATTCCTATAAGGGACGTTGAACCCGGTTCCCAGGACGTGATGCTTCCTACGAATAAATCCGAGTTTGTATGAAAATATGAAATAAAAAATAATAATTAAAAAAAAAATGCAAGCAGAGGTCCTAGGCGGGGAAGGCAATCCTTGCACCTACATGACTTGTATTGGTCGTAATCTTAGGAAAAAGCCAAAATGGGGCGTGACACCCAGAGCCTGAAACTGAAAAAAAATAGAAAGGATCCACTTCGAATAAGACATACATGCATTGTATTCGAATACAAAGCGTATGTTTTATGGTCGAAGTTCAAAAAGGAAAAAAACACTTGTATTTGAATAGAACATTCCTCCATATTCCCCCCCCCCAGGTTAGCATCTGCCCTCGTGCTCCTGACCATTGACACGCTGCGTGCTGCAGGGCACTCCCTCTCTCTCTCTCACTCTCTCTCACAAACACACACACATACATACACACACTCTCTCACATACACACTGACATACTGTCACATGCACACCCCCACACTCTCTCATACATACACTCACTCCCACATACACACACAGGTGGGCACATACACACACACACACACATACTCTTGGAGCTGTGCTAGGGAACATGACAATCACATCAACAGATAAACCACATCAACAACGCACACGTGCCCTCACGATCAATTGGGCAGGGTTTGGGTATACACCCAAGTTGGCCGCTGGGGTTGGGTATATGGTGGTTTAAATGGGGTACATATGAAGTTTTCCGAAACAAATAAAATGGGCCCTTAGGGTCTGGTTCCCCGACCGCCCTCGGTTATCAATTGACTTACCGTGAGGGCATGGGTGCATAGCCCGTAGTTCGTTTGTTTATGTGGTTTGGGAAGGGTAAGGTAGTGATTATGCTATATGTATATTTTGTCATGTTCGCTATATATAACTCGAAGAGAGTGTTAGTGCGGTCTCGATTGGTGCTTTATTGACGATGTTAATGGGACGCTGGACCCAATTTCCAATAGGTGACGCTCCTCATCAAAAGACAAGAGAATGTATATTCATGTGCGTGTGCGTGCGTGTATGTGGGTGTGGGTGTGCATGTGGAAGTGTGTGTGTGTGTGTGTGTGTGTGTGTGTGTGTGTGTGTG